AGGGAGTCTAAGAGGCTACCAAAACATTCTGCGCTATTGCGGTTGTCATTGGTTTCCTCCCAGATACTGAAGGTGAGTCCTTATTACTGTAGATACCCTGCACCTTGGATGCAGAAGGATCAAAACTGGATCTGACCTGATAGCCTCCTCTCTGAGGACCAGCTTTCTTAATACCAGAGGGTGCTGTACAAACTGCCAAGGAAGGAGAGCAGCCAGTACCCTGCCTACCTGTGACACCCATGAAGCACAACAATGACCAGCATGACAAGATGTCCCCAAAGGTGCAGTAGTGGCACCTAGCTTTCTCTTTATTCAAGGCTCTTCCAAACAATCCGTTTTCTACTCTACATTCTGTGGGGAGGATCTTGAAGAGCTTACATCGTATTCCCTCATATAGGCATACATTTACTCAACCAGCTGCAGCGTGGCCAGTTAGCTTTTGCTATTCACAGCAAATGCCTGTGTTCCAATGCCTTGGAAAGGCATTGTAAGGTCTGCCAGTGCATTGGTGAAAACAAACTGCTCAGTGTGTTCAGTGGGGCCCAGTAGGCTCTTCACTCCGTCTTCCCCATGCCTTAGGTAAACTACCATGCCCTTGACTCTGAGAGGCTGTGGTCACTTCATCACACCTGGATCCTTGGGCCTTGTAAGACTAGTAATCATGAAGTAGGTTCATGAGATGCTAATCTAGACACAGAAGTTGGGTGAAATTTGACACATAGTGCAGAAACTGAACCATCAAGTTAAGAAGAGTGTTTGTATAACCATCCTTTCCCACAGGCTATTACATTTCAGGGGGAAATATGAATTATTACAAGTGTCTGCTGACCTGCACCTCTCCACACCAATTTGATGTAATTAGTGCATTTTTATGACTGCAGAGAATCGCTGCGTCACTGATGGCTTGCTATGGCTTTTGAGAACACTGTTTCTGATCTCCCCTGTCTAGTGCAATCTATACGTAGGAAGATAAGTGGGCTCTCCTTATGACCAGATATTAGCACAGAACTGTATGCATTTGAGAGAGATTCACTCTCCAGCATGCTTTTACCTTTTCACTTACATTCCCTTGAGCATGTGGAAGTTCTGTGTTCCTATGAATCTATTCCTTTTGGAGACTTTTCCCCCCACTATTTTTAAATATAGAAAGCCTATGTAAGGCCTTATCTAGACGGTATCACTTCTTGGTTTTTGCTGTTGTGTTGGAGTGTTGTGGATTGAACCCTGGCCTCCCATAGAGAACATGGATGGTCATCCACTGAGGACCAGTTCTTAGGAGTTTTTTTAAATTGTTGCTGACATTAACTTGCAGCTCCTTTGGGTTTATATTATTTTCTCTTACAAAAAAGGGAATGAGACAAAAGAACAAAGAAAGGGAGGGAGAAAAAAAGGAAAAGTCTGTCTGTCTAAGTTTTAAACCAGGCATGGTGTCATGTGCCTGTAACCCTTGCACTGAGGAGGCAAAAGCAGGTAGACCCTTTTCAAGTTCAAAGCCAGGCTGGGCTTCATAGTAAAAACCTTTTCTTTATTTAAAAAAAAAAAGTTTTGTAGCACTGTTTTCTTAATAATCCCCCTGTAAAGGTAATATATAATGATTTCTATTTTCTCCATTTCCTGTGAGCGAATTTATGTGAGACTGATGTGCTTAACCAAGCCCCCTCCTGTTAGCAAATCTTTAAGGCTGGAACTTTATTTATGATCAATTTGTGTTGAACCATACTATATGTTGGCATTGGAAAATGCTGGATAAGACAACACATCCATGTGTATGCATATATATATATATGTATGTATGTATATGTATATTTATATTTATCGTGATCAAAAACAAAATTTATAGATTGGTTTTCACTTAATGTGGTAAGAGAAAACCTCCCTTCCTTAAAGCTCATGGGACAGGTCACTAGAAAGGAGATGAGACTCTTGTAAAGAACTCCAAAAATTATAATAAAGACAGGTGAATGCATCAATAATAATGAATGCAGCCATGTTGCCCTGAGGGGTTTAATTCTTAAACCCACATGATAGCTGAGGAATCACTCTCCATGGAGTCTTGGTGGCTGCCACGATCACTGGCAGACCAAGTCAAAGGCTGTGTAGCACCAGCCCTGCTCTGGTTGGGGCACAGGCATTCTCAAAAGTGCTTTTCTTTTGAAACCATCTTTTTGAGACTATGGAAAAGTACGCCTGCCTTAGCATGCCTTCACCCTTCTAGGGGCAAGATCAGAAACAGGAAAGAACTGTGCTTCCAAAGGCTGCAGGAAGGTGAGCAGCAAGTGTGAGTTCTTCATTCTCTAAGGCTGAACTTGGGCGAGCTTGGCTGTGAAGAACTTCTTCTATTGGTGTCCCCACTGTGGATCAGAGATAAGCAGTTAACTGCTCCTGGTCCTGCATCTCCAGTGGGCTAGCTGTGCAATAAGCCGATGTCTTCTCGAATATTCTTCTGCAGGTTTGCTTGAAAAGTTCAGAGCACTTCCCAGCTGGATTGTGTTTTCCATTAGAATTAGGCCTGGTTTATTTTGAAGTCCTAGTGGTCCCATCTGGAGCCTGTGACAAGCAGTTACTTGTTCCCCAGGCAGGGCACAGGCAGGCCTCCAGTGTACCAACCACACTGCCCTGTGTACATCAGACTCCCTCCACAAACCCCTCTGGGAGCTGCTTTTGTGGCAGATTCCATTTGGTTTCACAGGACCTGGAAGAGGACAAGGGACACTTGGCACTGCCCCCCAATCTCCCACGTTCAGGACCATTTGCAAACTGCTCTCAGAGGGAACCCCAGACCAACCCCTAACAGACGCTGCCATGAGCACCATTGTCTGCACAGGGCTTGCCTTTTCCCAGCTGACCTGCCTGAGAGTGGAGAGATGTGAAAAGTTAGAGACAATCTGGCTTCCACTGAGGGAGGGGAGCTTTCTTGTACAGAAAGGAAGGAAATACCTCTGTGGGATTTCATTTTTTTTCCCCTCCTCTTCATCCAAAAAAAAATACAAAGAGACTCTCTGTCTCAAATGAGAACGTCGGCTTTAAATCTTTTAGGTTTGGATTAACGCTGCAAAAGAAAAAAAAAAATCTGACAGGCTTTCAGATATGACTCAGAAAAAGTTTTTTCCCCTCGATTCATGTTGTTGATTTGTAAAGAGGAAGGCCCATAGCTGAATAGTGGGCTGTAGTTGCCCCCTGGTCATTAGCATAACAATGGTCAGAATTAGCAGCCTGCAGGATCCAAGTGTTTCTTGTCAGCGGAGACATTTAGCTCGAGGTTAATGCACGGTTTGCCAAAGGCAAGACAAGTCTTTCTTCTCTTGCCCTCAACATTAAAATACATTAAAAGTGAGCCAGGGAAACATGTTTTCAGTTATATGACTTAGCATCTCATCTTACCCTTTTCCCCAGAATGAAAAAGATATGCAAGGGTTTTGTTTTTTGTTTTCTAATAGCTGTTACCTTACTAGAAAGCGTCCTTGAATGGCAACAAAGGCCAGTGAGTTGATAGACATTTCCTGTTACACAGTTGCTGTTGGTTTTCACTATTGAGGATGTCAGCAAACATAGCCCAGATCATGTTTTGCTTATTAAATAAAGTGACTTTTATGGGGACATTTTTCACTTGTTGGTGTCTGGAATATGGATGCTGTTTCTCAGAGCCCATGTGACAGGTTATAGTTTCTGGTTTTTTTTTTTTTTTTTTTAATGATGGCATGTTTTTATTTTAAATGTCAAGTCCCATATTCCTGTACTGACCACAAAAAAAAAAAAAAAAAAAAAAACCCTTAGTGGTCTTGAGTGGCAGCCTGTGTCACTATGTTCACGTAGGGAGAAAAAAAATGAGAGTAGTTCCTGGTGTCCCTTTGAGAGTCAAAATGAATAGTGGGTCCAATACATGCTTTAAAATTGATCTTCCTATATGACGAGGTTGACTGACTAGAACTATGTGTGATTGTGAATCTACCTAGAATTACACGCTATGTCCTTTTTAATTCCCAAGCTGATTCCTGAATTAAAAAGAAGACAACTTCCTGTATGATTTGCAGCAGGATTTAACTGTATAGGAGTTAGTGTGTATTGGAATTATAATAGTATATTTACAAACTAAACAGGTACTGCAGGCTTGCCCTGTAGAAACAAAGCAACTCAAAGAAGTGAAACCAAAATGTATCTGTTATTGTACAAAACTATTCTTCTTAAACTCTTCATGATCTAATTCTATGACAGTGATATTTAAATCACAAACAACTAATAGAATGCATTACTTTTCTAAAATCACAGAACTGTTTTGTTTACTGTCTGGAAGCCCCGATACCCAATTTAAAATTTAATACAATGGAATAATTTAACAAGTTAGTTTAATATACCTTTATTTGAGTTTCATGTACTAAATATTTGGTTTGACTTTAACAATCATAAATGTATACTGCTAAAATTTACGTGAATCATTGAACAAAATTAAGATTACATCTATTCAGTTGCCCAAAATAATCAAGTTGTTACTTTCATAGATATCTTAACTTGATTGTACCACAGTCATAATGTATCTGGTTGATTTTTTTTAATGCCCTTCAATATGATAAGAGTAAAGTTCATTTTCAGTGCCAGAATTATTAGATTTTGTTTCTAGATATGAATTATTTTATGTGCCATATTATTATATTTATATCCTCAGGAAGATTGACAGTGAGGTCCTGTTACAAAAGATCAAAATTTATACTTCATATCATTGAGCACAATAATTCTACAAAACCCATGTGTGTATATATAAAAAGATTTGATGTGTATTTAAAACTTCTCTATCGACTACCTGAGAGGAAATACTAAGGTGTAAATGCATGATAAATATGACTTTTAATTTCAAATGTCGTATGTGTTTGAGTCCAGACTATTGTCTTTCCCTCCCCTTATAGAGTCATATTTGAGTTACCTTACTTAAATTATCTTGAGAAACTGAGAGTGAATGATGTACCTCTTGGCTATATAGAAGTGTCAACTGTTTGTGACTTCCACAGGCAGCCATGCTCTTCAGCTCTGGAGTCTTTTGGATGGGCTTGCTCTCCATCCCTGTGGCATCCTTGCTTCTGGATGTGCTGTGCAAAGTGTAAGTATTTGATATATGCTATATACACAACACTATATGTGCATGTCACCCCTTGGGTTTCTGTAGTCCTCAAACTTGTAAAATCTGCAAAACAGGAACCAGTGATATCTGTTAACTTTAAAGAAGAAAGGTGTGATTTAGAGAGAAAACAACTAAATTAGTTTAAAAGGCCAAATGAGAAACAAAGGGGTTACATCAAAGACATGTGCATTTGTTGGATTAGAGAAAATTACATCAGAAAATATGTGTTTAGAAATCACCTGCAAGACCTCAAAACAGAAAGGAAAAAGAGATTTTTATCTCCAGACATCTTTTTTAGGAGCTATGAAAAGAAACTCCTTGCTTCACTGATTCTAAAGATTTATTTCGTTTTTCTTAATGTTTTAAAATGATGTCTTATCCTACAATATAGTTACTGAAGTTAATGATATATTTATTTAGTAACTATTTTAGTATTTTTTATCTCATTTACTTGTTATGACTACTGCTCCTATATTACTAAATAAAAATACCCTACCTCTTCTGATCTGTTGAAGCTCTGCTTGTCCCTGGTTACTGCTGTGCTTGCCAACAGCTTGACAGGAAGCCACATGTCCACATCTGTAAAGTCTTGGCAGGAGAATCTCATTGCAAATCCTTTTCTCCCTGCAGTATCAAGAGGACAGCCTTCAAAACATTAGTGGATGAAGTTCAGGAGCTTGAGGCAAAATCTCAAGACCCAGGGGCAGTCGTACTTGGGAAAAGGTAAAGGGCAAATTGTATATGGCCTTTCATAAGATAATTTTACATTTTCCTCTTACTAGTGACTTGAAATACTCTCTTAAACTTGTATTTATCCCCTGACTGGTGGTGTTACTGACAGATTCTGGAATCAGAGAGGTATGGATTCAAGACAGATCTATCATTGCTAAATAGTGAGTTGTCTTAGACGAATTTCTTAACGCAACTGAGCCTCCTTTTTTTTTCATCAATAAAATGGGGCTTATATGGCTGCTTTAGAGTGGTTGTCAAGATTGAATAAAACAGCAGAAGCAGGATGACAAGTAGTTGTATTGAAATTTTTTAAAAAAATAATAATTTTTATTTTGAAATTATATCAATAATTCTTAAAGGTTTACATTTCTAGCTCAGTGTCTTCTTAGGAACCAATCCAAAGCATTTTTCCTCACCACCACCCCCTCCAAACACACAGGCTAGAAGGTTAAATCAATCTAGTAAATAGCCCAGGGAAGTAAATTTAATTTTTTTCTTTCATCTACTAACCAAAGGTTTTGTCTAAAGTCCATTGGCTTGAAATATGTCACCTGTCTTGCTTCAGCATTTTTATTCAGTTTGAACAAATGGAATAGATGTCAGGGTGAGAGTTGAAGCCAAAGCCTTGCTCCATGGTTCTTCCCACCACTCATTAGGCTGCCCTTAAACACTGGTGTGAGCCTCTGATTTGAACATAGTGGCCTTGGTATTGCTAGAGCACTCCCTGTCATCCAGGCACCCAACTTGTAATCGGAATACACTGGCTCACTGAATCCAGACAGCAGCCCAGTGCAGACAGACTGTCTCCAGGTAGGAACTCTGAGTTCAGAGAGACAGAGTCCCTACAGTTGTTAGCCGTGAGCCCAGGCCAAATGACCGAAGACGTCCTGCTCCAAATCGTGATTCTGCATCATGGGATTCATCATAGGAAAGCACCTTTCCTGTGACCTGGGACCAGCATTCCCTCTCTCTTTGTTTTCTCTCTCTTTTGGTGATAAAAAGGATCAGGAAACATCCTAGCTCACAAAACCAAATAAAGCCGTATAGTAAGAAAGAATTCCTAGGGAAAAGGCCACTAGGGATACTGTTTCTGTCCTTGGCTATATGTCTCACATTTGCAGGTATGTTGGGAAAGCCTGCATTAGCCCCTTCCTGTGTAGTTCACCAGTGATTGACAATTCCTGGTCAGCTAGGACTGAAGTGATGGTGTCCGTATATGAATCATCCCATGAGTCTGCATTGTGTGTAACCCCTTCCATTAAATAAACCGAAAATCAGTGGGAGCTGAGGTTAAGAACATGTGTTGCTCTTGCACGGAACCTGGTTTGGATTCCCAGCACCCACATGATGGCTTACAACCATCAGTAATTCCAGTTCGGGGGACTCTAACCCCCTCTCTGATCCAAGGACACCAATATATATACATATATATATGTATGTATGTATATATGTATATATATAACTAATACATACAAAATAAGTAAAGTTTTAAAAAACAATGGGTGAATCTAAGCCACAAAGAAATGGATTATTCCCACTTATAAAGCACTGATTTCTCTGCCAAAAATACTTCTGATATTTCCCACTGCAACTTACCCAGCTCATTTGCCTTTTAAAATATCTATTCAGCGATCCTTAGGAATGAGTTAGATAAATTGACAAAATACTGCCAACCAGTCCCCAGACCAGCACATACCTGCCTTCTTGCTGCTCACTGATGATCTGAAGGCTGGTGGTCAGGGAGAGCTTGGTGGCTTCCTGCTAAAGAGCAGCTCAAGGCAGGGCAATGCCGAAGGAGCCATAAAGAGGACATCCTGGGGACAGGAATGCTGCCCCACTAAAATAAACATCTACAGGTAACATCTTACAAAACACCTTACAAGAAAATGTGAACTCAAACACTGGATTTAATGGAGAAGAGTGTTGACCATGCAAGCATTAGGAGTTGAGCTCAAGTCTCCAGCACCATATAAAAAGCTGGGTTTGGCCATCCGAGCCTGTAACCCCAGCACTGGAGTGGAGGGGTGGAGGCTGAAGATTGTTGGAGTTAGAGTCAGTCTGTTCCCAAATTCAATGAGAGACCCTGTCTGCACAGACTAAGGTGGGGGATGGTGACACAGCAGGGCGGCTGATGGTCTCGTGTCCTTCACAGGTGCCTGAGTAGGCACACACCCAAAAAAGGGGGTGTGATAAGGAATTATGGAGGCTGTGGCCTCATTGGAGACAGAGATGCTTGGTTATCGCTGGAGTATGTATGAGCCATGTATATTATGTGCCATCTATATTATGTGCAGTTAAATAATGAGACTTACAGTTTGATATTCAACTGTGGATATTGGCCAACAGAGCTGTTTCTTAACAGGTCTGAGTTTAGGATCTTCATGTCAGGCTTCAGACTTCACCAACTTGTCCATCCACTGTTTGTCCTTTGGTCTCAGCATATAGGAGAGACTAGGAAGTATGGGATGTCGGATGATTTGGTCGTGAAGGACCATGATGAGGTTTGCTCCCAGCCTGTCAGTATTGTTTTCCTAATTCAGTGTTGTCTTGGAACTAACAAATGAAATGATGTGGCCCAGTTTTCACTCCAGTCTTTATGTCAGTATGATAGCACATGCTCTGTGGTAAGAAAGAAGCGCATAGAAAAGCTGTTCTGTGGGTAGGGAGATGGCTTGTCAATGTAGTCCCTGCTATGGGATCTTGAGGGCCTGAGTTCAGATCTATAGAACCCACATGAAAAGCCAGGATGGTAGAGCATGCCTGTAACCGCGGCACTGTGAAGGCCAGAGACTGGCAGATTCCTGAAGCCGATCTGTTGAGGCAGACTCTTGCTAAGCAATGAGTTTCTGGAGCACTGTCAGATCCTCTCTCAAAAAGTAAAGGCAGAAGATGATGGAAAAACAACCCACCAGCAATCCCTCACACTACAACACTAACAAATAATATTCACCAAGAACACAACACATGTGTACACGTGTACACAGTAAATTTTTTCAATAGTCTAATTTTTTTTTTTGTTTGTTTGTTTAGAAAAAGCCTTTCTTCAGCCTACTCTCATCACCAGGGTGAAAAGGGATAGAGTAGTCTCCTCCTAGTCTCATTCTCCCAGCAGCACCACTATCTCACTGTGCTGTGGCATTAACCCTTTCGTGATTAAATCTTGTTAACTTTCCGGACATTCATTTCAGTTTGCCAGTTGTCCTAGTTTACTTTTTGTTGCTGTGATAAAGACACTGACCAAAAACTTAAAGGTTCCATCCATCACATAGGGAAGCCACGGATGGCACTGGCAGCCCAAAACTTAACACAGAGACCATGGGGGAATGCTGCTTTCTGGTTTGCTTTCTCTGGCTTGCTCAGCTACTTTTCTTACACATTCCAGGTCCACCAGCTCAAGGATGGCTTTACACCAGCCCAGTCCATGGTGGGCTGAGCCCTCCCATGTTAATTGGCAATCAAGAAAATATCCCTACAGACTAGCCCACAGGCCACTCTAATGGAAGCCGTTCCTCAGTTGAGATTGGTTCTTCTTGAGTATGTCTAAGTTTACATCAAGTTGGTAAAAACCAACCAGTACACCAAACCAATACATGCCACTTTACCACCCTTCAAAGATGGCCAGGATTCCTTTGACTGTACACGAGTTTTTACCAATAACATATTTGTAGGAATACCAATAACATGTTTGTAGGAAAAATACTATATTTAAACTCAGTATCTTTTCACTCACCTCCACTAAATACCTAAGCAACAACACTGTGATGAGTTGGAAATAAAGCAACAGTATTTAAATGGTAGTTACTTCGTGATTGCATTGAACAAACTTGGAATTTGCATATCTTGGTATGAAATGAAAGACCCTACAAGATTAAGAGAAACTACTACTAAGAATTGTAGTAGATGTGGTTTTAGTAAAGCTACATCTTAGTCCTTTTCTCTCTCTCTTTTTCTGTCACACTGAGTTAAGCTATCCAACAAAAAAAAAAAAAAAACTAAGCTTTCAGTGTACTTATTGATGTTAACATGTTATCCACATATTTTACAATGGGACTTGTTAGTAATCTTAGTCCCAATAAACATGGATGACCTAAAACTGTGTCAATTTTGAAATGATAAACTGTTGTTTCCCATGGGTAGAATAGGGCCAGAGAAATCCAACTCGGCATTGCTTCTAATTTACGAAGCACCCTCCTATAAGATGGCATTTATATTCTGGAGGAGGTGGAAAACAGTCACGGAAAGAACACAGCAACAAAAATGTAGCTGTTTTCTTAGCAGTGAGGTAGAGTGGGGGCGTCAGGCTCATGTGTAGCGGTAGTTTTCTCACACAGAGCCAAGGTTAAGTACAAACCAAAGCATCAAAAGAGATCCTTACAAAGTATCTTTTCTAATAGAATACCGGGGATCTGGGGAATAGGAGTGGGAGGGGCCAGCATTTGTTGAGTGCTTCCTAAGTGTCAATCACTAAACTGACTAGCAGCTAAACCCTGCCTGTCTGCCACAGGGTTATGTATTGTCCTCCCATTATAAGTGAAATGGCCAACGAAGGTTTCTACAGTGAGCCAGCAGCTAACAAGAAACAGACTCAAAATCGAGTCAGAGAGTCTCTGGAGTGTATGCTTTTTTCTGATGGATGTGCCATGTTTTCAAGAAAGTCTCGGTGCTCAAAAATAAAATAAATGATAAATCAATTAAATAAATCAAATAAACAATAAGTAAACCAGGAGGGGAAACCCATTATCTTGTATATTTCACTTGCTAAAATATAGAAGACAAAGCCCATATTTCATATGGAGGTCTTCATATTTTGGTGTTGTGGTACTCAAGTGTGATACATTCTGGAAGGCCAGCATGAAACTTAGAAAATGGATTTGGGGAGGAAGTGGCAGAGAGCTCCTTTGCCCTCCTGCAACCCTCTATAATCACTTCCGCTCCAAACACTGGAGACTGCCAGACACTGCATCTATAGCACTTGCTAACAAAATGGGATTGTCAGGCTCATGCTCTCAACATCCCCAGGGGAGTTACCCATGTATGCCCTTAGGGTCCCAGAGTCTGTAGTGTTAGATCATGGAAAGAGAGGGACAGGCAAAGTGATTTGAGAGAGCTGACCCTTTCTCCCTTGTGTGTGGTAGAAACAAGGTTTACAACGAACTGCACCACCACTCGAGTTTTCCATGAATTTGTGCTCTTCTTGTAATGCAGCTAATTCCCAGTGACAATAAAATATGTCTAGTAAACCCTAGCTAACATCCCTAGGCTTCAAAAACTATGTGAGAGATTAATACAAATGTCAACATTTCTAAACATTTTCCTTCGATTTTTGCCTAATGTCTATGCAATTCATTTGTACAGTGAGGAGGATCTTTTGTGTGTGTGTGTATGTGTAGATGATAAAGATAATTCCATTTCGGGCTTTCAAAAAAATGGCAAAACACAGAACTAGCATAATTTACAGCAACTTAACTAAAGCTTGCCTAGTGAGGAAAAAACAAGATGGGAATGTTTTTTAGCTGACATCCTTCCACGCTGACTGGTCTTTGCCATCAAAGGACATTCAATAAAACAGCACGATTGGTGAGATGGAGGAGGTGTGTAAGCATGTCTCCAAATTGCTCAGATTCCTCTACCCAACAAATGTTCACATTCCTGTTGTGTGAAGAACCTCACCGCATGCAGTAGAGGGAAAGACGTGTGATGTCTCACAGTGTGGTTTGCAGAAGTTCTGTGATTAATCCTGGAAACCTCCCTATGGAGTTCAGGCGAAACAGATTTTTTTGTTTCTTTGTTGCTTTAACTACAATTGCTTCCTAAAAACAATTCATATTTTAGAATGAAATTGACATACTTAAACCCGATTAGAGTGGTAGGAATTTTTCTATTTAAAAAAGATAATATTTTGTCATTTGTATTCTTTTTTCATTTTTTTAGTATAATTAAAGCTATCCTTTTCTATCAGAATATGTCAAAATGTAAGCAAGATACAGTATGGGCAAGATAGCTGTTCTTAGACACAAAATGGTCAAAATAGATGTATTTAGACTCAAAAAGCTCTGTACTTAGAATACACACAGCAGGGCAATCAAGGTTTTTAGATGATTTGGTAACGTTTCACTACTTGTGTTGAACAGATTTTGTATTCCCATTTGATTTAGGTATAATGGTACTGGGCAAAGAAATCTTAGTTTTCCTAGATTATCATTAAAGAAAAAACTCATCCCTAGCTAGAGGAGAAATACTTAAGATCTCATTTGCTCTCTGGGAAAAAGGAATAAAAAAGAATCAGATCTGACTGCTGGTTCTCAGGCTTTTGTTCTGTCTACCTCCGCTGCTAGCTCTGCAGAGAGCCCAGCTCCCTGAGTTGACAATGTGTTTTACACTTTTGTGCCTGCTCCACAGCCTCACCGAGAGGGCCCAGTTGCTGAAGAATGTCTTTAAGAAGAACCACGTCAATCTCTACCGCTCTGAGTCTCTGCAACAGAACCTGCTCCGTGAGTATTGGAGTTTTGATTAAATTCTCTGTGCCCTGTACATCCCAGCATTTATCAGAGCAGTGTGTTGTAATTCTACCATATTTAGACATTTTAAATTAATGGTTTAAAATTTTGAAACATGCTGTGTAAAAACAAGTGGTTGGTTAACAAACCTGTGGGCTACACCATCTTCCAGCTAATAGCGAATTTTAAAATGCTGCTGTCTCCACATTCCTTGCAGCCTCAAATCTTAAAAGGAAGCAGTGAAATAAATCTTAACTCTGAAAAGCTGCCTCTATGTTGTTATCTTTTCTACTTGAATAACTTCACAAGGGTCTTTCCAGCCTTCATGCAATGCAAGGAAACATATATTTTCTCCTTCAAAAATATTTATGCATATTTAGAGTTGGAAGGAGTTATTGGGTATCTCACCCTCTTAACATTTCAAGGACCTGAAAGAGAACATAATATATACATCTCTGTAGTAAATTTACTGGTATTGGTAATATATCTTTTATTTTGTGTTTTCACATGTAATTTATTTTCCTTTATATATGCTCAAGTGCAGTGCCTTTGGTCTTTATATATCAAGGGCCTTTTCCAAAGATGTGATCCCCCTAGGGGTTATCTCCTATCTGACCATGTAGTGTGTGTGTGTGTGTGTGTGTGTGTGTGTGTGTGTGTGTGTGTGTGTGCTGGCCGAAAAGAATGTTACCTAAAGAAAGCAAGCCTCTCCTTCACCACTGGCAATTCTGTGTGATCATCTATGTATTTAGAGAGTATAGGGTAGTATTTTCATCTGTGCACTCAACCATGGTAGAATAATTTAGTCAAGCTAGTTGATACATTTCCTCTATTCAGCTACATAATTCCACTCTCTCCAACCTTCTCACTCACCTGGTGCCTTTCTGAAAATGTATCAATGCCATGATCAGACTCAGCCCTTCCAGCCATGGGGAAGCAAAAATGAAGAGGGTAGAGTTGGTGTGTGGGTCAGAGGACTGAGGGGCATTGGGCAGCTTCTGCCTAGTTAAATGGGAAGCAGAATTTACAGGTTCCACACTGGCAACCTCTGGTCCTCCCAACTCTGCCATTTTGACTGCTGAACAGTGAGTTCATTAAGTGATTTCTGTTCTTTCATTACTTACAGATGGCTATGCCTTCTCTCAAGATGAAAACGGCATTGTCTCACAGTCTGAAGTCATTCGAGCCTATGATACCACGAAACAGAGGCCAGATGAGTGGTGATAAGGAGGCCTAAGCAACAGACCCTGCTGAGTCTCTGAGAAGAGCTGTCACAATTTAAGGTCACCACTGCAATCTGATGACCAATCCCAGTCTGGTTCATGGGGAGAAAAAGTATGTCTGAGCTCATCTCACAGATGGACATTATGTGACTACTATACCACCATTGCCCTCAGATGTTCTCAAGTACCTGCTAAGGTTTTGTAAACTGATATTGGAAATGACCTTGTGTCTTGCCTGAGTGCTTTCTCAAAATGGGGACAGGTCAGTGTTCACAAGCCATCCCTCTGGGGCTGTAACTATCAGTTCATTGGTTCCACCACCAGTCAATCAACCATTTAAAATGGTGTTAAGGAGAGGCCTCTTGATATCCAGACTTAGGTTTCAGGATAGGCTGAAGCAAACCAGCATTCTTGATTCACTCTACTGAACACTTCTAAACAAGGCATTAATACGTGTTTGTGTCAAAACGTGTCTTGCTAAAGTGTTTGCCAAAGACGTTCAGTGTGTGTGCTTCTCATTCAGTAGCCAACTGCCAGGAAATTTAAAAGTGAGTTTGCTCACAGTTCTGCTGTGCAATCTGCATGCTTTTCAGATGTAAACATGACTTGCAAACATTGAACATTTCCAGGCATTTGCTACGAAAGTCTGTGATGTCGCACCTTCGGCCTTACAACTGCTTCTCTGTTGATTGTCCCCTTGATTTGCTTCAGTGGGAGGGACCTGTGTCCATGTGACCATTGTTACAACACTGATTTTTTTTTTTTAACGCTGTCATTTCTGATGAACTTTAGACTCCTTTAGATGCTCTTAGAAATCTGGCTTCTGTTGTGTAGTGAATGATGTCACTTTGTCTTTTTTTCCCTCCTAAGAAATTATGCTTATGTATTTATGTGGGACCTCTGGTAAAAATCCATCAAATAATGCATGAGATTTTTGTCGGGTGCATAGGCTCAGCTTTTGTCCTGTGTTCTATTTGTGTCTCGCTGTGTGTTCCCACTGGAGATGATATATGTAGTACAGTTGGTGTGACGGTGACTACCCATATGCTTAAGCCTGAAATTATTTCACACGTAAGCCTGAAAATTATTTCACAGTTCACTCAGCCAACAGTTCCCAAACTGAGTCATGTACTGCTTATTGACACTAGACAGATAAGTAGTACATTCCCCTCATTTTAAGGAAATACCTATTTTACTCCAGCAAACCTTCCCATCAATGAATATGTCTCATCTAGGGCTCACTGATACGCTTTCAAATATATGCCCATTCTCATTAGTTTTGGCATTTCCATGAAATCTGGAAAATACCTATTTTGCTACCAATGATAAATGGTGAAGGGGCTGTTTAAAACCACACCCAGTTTTCTACAATTTTTACAATGTTTTTGCCATCTTAGATAAAAAGGGAGTTCTAGTTTTCAGATACACTTCAGAGAACGAAACAAACTCTTCTGCCTTTTATTCAAAAGCCTGTTTGCCTTCAAGTGGGTTACCAGCAAAATAGGGACCTTTAAACGTGTGCAAGGACTAGCTTTGAGAAATTATCCCCATTTCATCATTTACATGGTCCCCCCTTCTTTTTCTCAGTGTGGATTTAAAATTAGACTGTGTCTCTTCCTTCTCTAAATTTGTAGCTAGTTACCAGTGTGTCTCTGCATTCCCTACAAATGAGAGGTTCTAAACATTCCCATAATTCTAAAGGGAGTGGAGTGGACTATATTTCACATCTCAAACCCGTCCTGTTGGAGCTTAGATTAAGCAACCCATGAGCAAAGCATTTAGCAGAACCGCACTCATAGAATCTAAGGTGATGTATTAAATTGTGAAGCTGTAGACTTTGACCTTCTACCAACTAAATCTGTCAAGTAGGTTTTCCTGGGCCTGCTGGTGGTGACAGTTGAGGTCACACCACAGAAATGAACAGTTACCCAGGGATGGCTTCCCTTTGGCCGCACCATCAGAGGCATCTGTCTCCAGGTTCCTCCATTCATACATTGTGGATAAGAATGGAATCTTTTGACCTCTGAATGAAAACCTAAGTCTTCTTTTATCTTGAATCATGAGGGACTTTGATGAAATTCCTCCACATGTGAATACTCATGGTTAATCAGTGTACATTATACCATGAAATGAAACTCTTGATGCCTTTTCATCCCTGGATCCCATGTTTGAATGGTGGACATTAAGTCAGCCTCCCTGTTGGGGAGAACATGGGGGGAGCCACTTGGGTAAAACTTGAAGTTTTAGAGAATTGCTATTGCAGTGAGTTTATAGAAATGTACTACTCCTGAGCTTCTAGCCTTTGTTAGCCGGGGTAAACGTTCATGGTTTCACCAGGATTTGAATAACTGCAGTCAAAGTGACTTTAAACCTATGTTTTCTGAAATAAACAATATATAACTCCAATTTAAAAGTCCCCTTTGGGGACTCTAGTAAATGCTGACATGACTGCTTTGTAATGTTTACAATCCAGAAAATACTATTTATAGAGAAAAGCCTCATTATTTTATCACTGAAAAGCTGGGAATGTCTTCATTCATGTTGGAATATGCACAGTAGTATACAGCATGGACTTTCTCTATGTGTTAGCTGTACATGCAAAAATGCATCGGTGTCCCACATCTTGAAAGATGCTGTGTTGTAGAAGGCATTAGTAGGAAAGAAATGTATGCTACATGGCTGGCACTTCCCTCAGCGCTCTGTGTGAGATGGCTTCAGCAGCAAAGAGAATTTACTGGAAATCTCTCTCACCCAGGCAGGTGAAGGGATCCTGCCAAACAAGGGAGCCATGATTTGTATTGTCATTATAGAGACAATGACAGTGAGTCCGTTTCCTCCACAACAGGCAAAATGAATTCTAGGAATGATCAGCATGTAGTCTTAGCATTTACTTATATATTGTAATTTTTCAGTTTGGTATCCCAGATAGCTGGGATAAAACCCACAGGTTAATTTGTTCTTATACTTAGTGCCACACTCATAAGCTGTCATTGAAAAATGTCCTTTCAGAAAATGAGTGCTAGTCAGAGAGCCACAGAAATGTCCTCTTAAAAACAGTGTGTGGCTATTACAAAGCTACCTATATTCATGGTCATATGGTTGGATTTTGATGGTTCCAAGTCTTAAAACTTGTTTCATGAAATGAATCTTTGGTCTATTAAGTAAACTACAAAATTTATCAAGGAAATGTCCCACTCATTCACACTGTGGTGACCAGGTATGTGGAAATTCCTTCTGTCCATTGCTTACAGTAACACCATGTGGCTCAGTGCCTCATAAATGCTTTTTAATGATGAGTATTTCTGGATGGCCTCTTAAACATAGCATAGCCTGATTTTTCTCACCTTAAAATAAAACACTTGTGAAACTTAGTTATACTTTGCTGTGTTTTAATTACCCTGCAACAGCTATTAAAATGGAATGTAAGTTAAATTTTGAAGAAAAGGAAGTGAATACTCTCCATGTTTCATATTGGTTTATTTACTGTAGGGAAACAGCTGTTTGGGTTTCTTGGTTTTGTGTGTGTTTGTTTTGTTTTGTTTTGTTTTTTGATAGGCTTATGGTTTGCATGAATTAATATTTAAAGTGATCCAGGCAAATGCATGGCTTGTGTAAAAATCTTGGTATTTATTTCTGTCTTATAAAACATTACCATGGCCTAACTAGAATTTAATACTTTAATATTTTGTGGATAAGTTAATTAGTCCTCCACACAGTTTTTGTTTGTTTGTTTGCTTGTTTTTTACTAAGTGGGTTATTTTACAAGTTTCATCAAATTCAACTGAATCTTTTTATTTAACTAAATCTTCTGTTTAGCTTGCCTCCAAGAAATTTTCTCTAGAAAGTTCCTGAAACTTCTTAGCAAATAAATCTTCCCTGAACAGGAAGGAAGGTGGATTGCATATGTCCTCATTTTGTATTAAGAGTAACTTTCCATGGGTAAGTTTGTTATGGCAAAGATGTGAACAGCATTTTTTTAAAATTCCCAGTCATAGACTAGAAGCCATAAATGCAGTGGGTGCAGTTTGTTGTTATCTCTTCAAGCCTCATTTTCCACCTTTTCAAGTGTATTAAGTTAAAGTCAGAAGGCAGCCTTGGAAGGCAGCTCTGAAAAGCTGCACTTTGCATTAAAGATAACATCCATGTTCAGCTCTATGGAAAAGCCATTTTGCCAAAACTGCTGTAGAGATTGTGACGCTGCATGAGTGGGGAGTGTCGAATCTGTGCTTATAGTGGTTCTCTCAGGTTTGTGTACCCTAATGTTCAACGCACTGTGTTTTATAAATAGTTACTACCGTTGAGTAAAACCCATTTCTATGCACTGTTACGTGTCATTGGCCTTTTGTGGATGTGCATGTTTTAAACTGCAAATTTTAAACATTTGTCCTCTAATTGTTATTAAAAAATAAAATAAACTTTACCATTACATAATGGCACTGGCTAAAGTTTTGATTGCTACTGTTATGTCGCTTTACAAAGCAGTTCAAAGCCACAATGACTACAGTCTGAGACAGAGTCTCAGCCACCTGATTGCTTTTTAACATTTTGTTTGCAGCTATATTTTATTCACCTAAATGAAACAAAAACTAGCTCTAATTTGATAGGAAGGTAGTCTGTTTTGTTAACAGAGAAGTACTTTCTGGAAAGTTACTGTATTTTGACTTTATTGTTTGGAAATGTTTCCCATGTACCTCTGCATTTTAAATTAGTTTGCCAGTCAATAGTTAGTTCACTCTGTTCTCTGTCCTTTTGTGTTGAAAGAATCTCATAGGTTTTTTTCTAAACCCACTGAAAAAGAGGAGAAAGAAGGGAAGAGTTGGCCAAGTTTAGACAATAAGGTTTAAAGGATGTAACCATAAAATAACAAAATTGGCCAAAAGTGCAGGGAAACACCAGAAATTAGGATTTTTTTTTTTTTTTTTTTTAACTTTTTTTTTTTTTTTTTTTTTTTTTTTTTTTTTAGAAATAAACATTGTTTAAAGCCTACCCGATGAAGATTTCTTGATACAGAGGTACTGCACATGACAAATAGAAAATATCCAATTTGATTATACTGGGGTCATGTCTATTTAGCTGTTCAAGCCCCTGTCCTCTCCCACAGGTTTCCTCTGAGTCACTTGATGGTGGGTCTTCATGCAGAGCACCAGTAAAGCAGTTTGTGGAGAAGTTATCTTTGAAACCTCTTATAATTTGCACACTTAGTCACCATTCCCCTTTAAAAAAAAAAAAAAAGGTGTGCGTTGATACTGATGCTTTGACATAAGATGCCTTCTACTGTTACCATAGGCAACAGCAAACTTGAAATATAACCTCATAAATTCAATACGTCATCCCCATGCTTA